TATGAACATTTAAATCCCTTTTTTCTATTATTTATTTATAAAATGAGACAACTTTTAAAAGTCCTATTTTTCTCAATGTTATTCTTCCTTTGCTTGGTTTAACAGTGAATGAAATCTTACCTTTCCCTGATAAAAACCTCTCCAGGAAATGGCCTAGATCTGGTGATTCCTCTAATCTAACGAAAGTTTTGGAGAAATGAAAAAAGGACACCACAACATCCTTAGGGTTTCTATAGACGTAAATGATCTGCAAGGGAAAAATAATACCTGTTACCTAACAGGGTATAATATATTGTATTAAAACATTAATAAAAGAATGAAAGAACTGTATTTTCTGTTAATCTTTTTTAAAAAATTTTTTGTCATAAAAAGTTATCGGACAAGAATCATCTCTTTTCAGGTGCTGAGAGAGACAGTCATACGTTAACAATGAAGTATAATGAACTGCTGTTTGGTAAACTTTGAATAATTGAAGAGAAAGAACATCTTAAATTGGATTGCAAGCCATATTGACATTTTTTGTTTAGAAGGTTGTACTTGTATAATATGAGGGGTTTTTTTGCTTATTGTTAGGGCTCAGATTGCAGTAGGACAGTTTACTGGCACCTTTCCTAAATTATTTGGTTCTCAGGAATCTAAGATTTTACTTTTTTAGGTAATCTCCAGATATTATGGCTGCAAAGAGGATGTTGGAAACAAGAACCACATTTAATTAATGCCCAGTGGATTAATTTAGGGTTATCAAATTTGTTTTACTGCCCACAAGCTGGATCTGGATGAGGAAGAGCTTTGCAGGCTGGATCCAGGCCCACTTCCAGCAGTAGAGTGGCAGGGAGCTGGGAGCTGCAGGGCTTAACGCAAAATGTAGCCCCAGTCAGGCTCCTATTTCCACTGGCATTCACCTTGCACCCACATTCCCAGCCACTTCAGGAGCTCTACAGGTTACAACTGAGGACCTTATCTTTGACATCTCCGGACTAATCTATGGATTAACTGTTCTGAATGAACTCTTCTGAACAAATTCGTTAATCGGGAGACAGAGAGAGCACTGGCTCCCTGACAACCTGCCCAAAGGTAAACAGTCATGGAGCCCCATTCAGACTGTGAAGTTGGTTTGTGCATGGATGGAGAGCATTTTCCACAGCTGGACCTGTCCTGCTATGCAATGGATCTAGCTGTGCTGCCTCTGCCTTCCACCCTGGGCTTCTCCTAGCCAACCTAGATGGGTGTATGGGGTACAAGGAAATCTCCCATGGCTAGAACCCTCCAGAGTCACATGGGAGTGTTCCAGCCATGGGAAAATGCCCCCTGCTCTGTGAACCCCTCTGGGTCACCCAGAATATGACTCTGGTTAGTGCAGAGGGCAGGAAGTGGAAGGTATAAGGAGAGCTGTTCTCTTCACCCCTCTCAACCCTATAGAGCAAGGCAGTTTCTGTTTTCAGCAGTCACCTGCCTATTGACAGCCACCCTTTTCTCCACCAGGGGAGAGCACAGGTTGTCAATCAGTGTGCTCCCCTAATGTCAGGGGTGACACAAGGAGCAGCCATCAAGTGCTCCAGTCACCTGTGTTCATTTCTAGCATTAAGAATTTGCTGAACACCTGCCCATGGTATAGGTGTAGAAATAATCTCTGTCTCTCACTCCCTATATGTACACACACGTGCTCTCACACACGCATACCCACACATGCAGGACATCTTAAAGCTGATTGTATACCTAATGCCTGTGGCACACATTACATTTAAGACATGAATAACCAGTTAATCATGCATTAAATTGTTATCTGGTGTAACAGGCCTAGCCCTTCTAAGATGTTGTAAACCTCAGTGGCCAAGTAGCTTGCACCCTACCTCCCAGCTCTTCTGAGCCACTACTCTGTATCTTGCCTCCCATGCCTTGATGGAACCAATTATGCCAGAGGCATCCCAAGCCTTAGAGTGGGATTTCCTTTGGGTCACTTGGCTTCCCATTTTTATACTTGTCCATTCTGGCCACCAGCACTGGCAGTGCAGCCATTGATGCTATGCAACGTGCCATTGCTGCCCAGGCTCTCAAGTTTCCAGTTACACCTCTGCTGATAAGGTAACAGAGAAAGACAAAGAAAAGAAGTGTTGATTGTGTGTCACAGTTTGTCTTCCAATGACCTGCCCAAGTCCAAGAAAGGGTGACTAGCCAAAATGAGAATGAAACCTAGAAGTTCCTGACTTCCTGTATTGTACTTGGACTATCTTCTGGTTTTACTTACACCCCACTTTTAACTGTGTTCTTTCTATTAATTAAATATAGGCCTTGAATTGAGTTGTCAAGGCAGCCACATGTTCCTAATTGTTTATAATTAGTAATAAAATAGTTTCCTACTTTTCCTTTTTTGTTTCTCAGAGTCTTTGGAACTAAGTAGTATGGCAGGTGGGCACAAAAGATACGAGGTGATGGCCACTGGGTAAAATCCAAATTCTGCATGTTGTAGTCAAAAAATGGGATTCGCTGCTTTGTTTCAGTATTTTCTGTCCCATCGCGATGTCCTTCATAATGAATCAAAGCCAAAATGTTTTGAGTCCACACGGTACCTGGAAAAGGAATGGCCTAGTTTAAAACCTTGCTATAACTTATCATATTTGCATATAGGACCTTTTATCCCAAAACTAATAAGCCTGGTATAAACCAAGGACAAACAAAGGGATGAATTCTAGATCCATACTGAAGTCAGTACAGAAGTGGAATCTGGCCCTCTGATTTATGCAGCCTCTCTAAGGCAAAAAGCAACAACCATACAAGCAACAGGGCATTGGGCATAGGGAAGGGGCAATCAAGAGCTCCTGCCATTTTTTGGAGGAAGATATATCCTTTGTGGAAAGAATAGTCATTGATCTTCCCAAGTTCAATAACTGTTAGTGTATGTGACCCTTCAACAGAGTGTGTTAGGTGAGTGATATTCTTCTCTGCTCCACACATTTGTGAAAGACCCAAAGATAATATAGCTTATATGCAAAGTTTAATTCCACATCACTGATAGCTCCAGTCCGGGGCAGATCCAGGATTTCCCAGAGGGTTGTGTGGAAGCAGAAATTCACACTGCAGGGGTGACTACACCCCTTGCCCCCACCAGTGCGGGCATATTTTTTTAAAACCCTGAAGCAGCTGAAAATCCCCCTTCCCTTCCCTTTCCTGCACAGAGGCAGCTCCTTGCTTGCTGCTGCTGATTTCTAAACTGCTCCAGGGCAAGGAAACTCCAGAGTCAATGGGGCTGAGCAGGGTCTGAGTTTAGCTGGGAAGGGGACAGCAGCAGTAGGGTGAAAGTAGTTCCCCTACCCCCAGCCCAGAGCAAATACATACATCCATGCTGCCATTGACCCTATCCCCAGATACGCCCAGCCAGGAATGGCTCCGGTGCTTCCCTGCTTCTGAGACAGCAGAGAAACTCAGGGAGAGGCAGAGGGAAGCCTTTTACATGCTTTAGGGACTCCTAAAGCATAATTCCCCAGAGGCTCCTGTGATGCAGTAGAATTTGAGGAGCAAAAGAGGGGTACAGCTGTGCCACTGCACCCTGTCTGGATCCACCCCAGCTCCTGTTTGTTCTCAGGTAGGAATAGGCTTTTTTGTATCTAAAGCTCTTGCAAGGTGTGATGGGTCCCAAAATATAAGAAACAAACATTTACAAGGAACAGTTACAAAAATACAACGTAAAATAGAGGAAAATCTATTTCTTTGCTCCCTCTCCACAAAGTGGTTGTGAGAATTAACCACAGGTTTTGACCAGATCTAATCAGGAATGCCTAAAATATGATTTAGCTTGGCAGAATTCCATTTATATTTGTTAATAATTTTGATGGATGAGATCCATTATCATTTTAAGCATTTATTTCAATTTTTATAGATTTACATTTTCAGGATTGCATGAAATAAGGGGTGTGGGAATGTGTGCATGTGACATAAATGCATATACGCCTTCTTCCCCCAGCCCAACACACTTGCCCTCCCACCTCCAGCTGCTGTTCAGCAGGAGCTTGACTCACCACTGCAGCAGCAGCCTATTCTTATGTCCCCTTTCTATAAAAATTGATTATTACCAATGGAGATATTTTGTTATCCATGTGTGAGTGTGAGGTGAAATTGCCATTTATCAACATTTACTGAGAAAACAAATTTCAACATTTACCAATAAAAATTTAGTCCAGCATGGAGTGTGTATTGGAAGTTGGCATGGTAAGGCCACAACAGCAGTGACAGACAAAGTAGGCAGAGGGCAACCTGGGCTGTTAGGCCTTGGTTACCCTCTGGCGGCCTATCACCATGAAAGGATTCTGTGGCAGGCCACCTGCCTTGGCAATGATCCCAACTTCTGGTGACACACCAATAGTTTGGTGGGCCAATAGATAGACTCTGCAGGCTGAATCCAGCCCACAGACTGTATGTTTGACAGTCCTTGTGCAACTGATCCTTTTCTTGTCCTCTCCCTCCCAACCCCCAAGTTCAGTGTTTACAGCTGAATTGCTTCATTATTTACCCTCATCTCTATTATTAAAAAGACTCACAGTAAATTTACTCAGAAGTGAGGAACATCCTGGATAAATGCCAAATTACTTTTAGAAAGAAAAAAAAACCATTTCTTACCAGACTTGGGATAAGTAATTATAAATACATCGCCGTCTCTGGTTTCAAAGTCCTCCATTGTCTCTAGATAGTCAGGTTTAACTAGTTCCTTTTGGAAATTAAATCCTTTGAATTTGAAACTATATTTGTTTGATGTCTCTGTTGTGGTTTCCATTTCTGCCATTATTCAAGGGCCTGCATGTAAGAACAAGCACACATTCTAGACAGCTCTCCTTTAGTGCTTATCTTCCATAGATTACTTCAGCATAACATGAATAAAATATCTGGGGACTGGCTACCCTCTTACAGCGTTTTGCACAATCTCACTTCATTGTCTTTAATAGAGTTGCTCCTGATTTACAGCATACACTCTGGTGTAGACAAGAAGAAATCATTTTAAGAACTTGCTTTGGGGTTCTTACTATTCAAGTTTCAAGTAAAAGATGAAATTTTAATTGCCCTTATCTGGCTTGGTGGGAAAGGAGACTGCTAACACACAGAAACATGTACCAGAAAACAGCCTTTTATCACAAAATCCACGTGGGTTGCTGAGAAATCTTTGTTTTGTGGTCTCTCATGTACCAATCATACTAAGCAATCTGTTTCACCAAAACACAAAATCAATATATTTGCAGTTTTAAAACCAATGAAATGATGAATAAAGACCATAATAATTTAACCTTTCGTTCCCAGCCAGTTCTGTACTTTTGTTTAGGGGCTGTATCTGGACAATAGGCTTCTTATCCTGTGCAGATTATAGTGGATCATACAGTGTTTAAATACCTAGTATTGCTGGGTACATTTACATATTCATTATGAGCTTTAGTTCCTGTGCATTTAGTTTAGTACTTGCCTAATGAATGCTTGTGCCGGAGAGAGAAAAGTAAGTGAACCCCTACTCTGCACAGGACAGTGCGAGAGTTGCACCTCCAGTTTAAGAGCTGGAGGGTGCAATCGTGCCCACTGTCAGTGTAGTTCTTCTTTGTTGGATGACATGGAAAAGCCACTGCTACAGCTGGCTGAAAATTGTTCAATGGCCCATTTTTTCCATCCGAAAATGCTGATTCACTGAATTCAAAACATTCTGTGCCAGAGGTTCCCAAACATTTTCTTATTAAGCAACCTGCTTCCAGATTTACCAGCCGCCCATGCACCACCACCAGCATAAGTTTCATATTTTAAATGTCGAATTTAAATTTTAAATAGTGCAAATGCCAATTATTATTATAATGAAAATGAAATCTGCCATTACACAATTTCTCCCACGAACCCGCCAGAGATGTCTTGCTCACCCCCAGTGGTATGTGTACCACACTTTGGGAGCCCCTGTTCTATGTGAATGTGCCACTTGATAAGTTTCATAGACAAAATATCAAATGGAAGATGTTCGATCTCACCAGAACAAAAGGCTTTGCTATTCTGTAAAACCCTTCCTTTTAAACCTTACTTTGTTTTTATGTTTTAAATGTTAAAATAATGATCAAATAAAACATGAAAACCAAAAGAAAACATTTGATTGATCCCAAAACAGAATTTTTTTTTAACAGAAAAGCTTTTGCACTTGAAATTCAGTGTTTCATTTGGATTATGCAATAATCCAATTTTGAATCATACAGCATGCTGTGAAGCAGAAATTTAACTTCCCAGCAAGCTCTAATAATAATTTTAGAAAGCAGTTCCTGTGACGCTCTCCAAAACCACAATGGAGTTTTTGGCACGCAACCTAATAAATAACCTTGGCTGCTTCACATACACCTCGATCAAAATGGTTTACAGAAATTGCCTGTTGTGCTCTTTCCTGAGTGCTCATATGGAGCTGACTTTAACGAAAAAGGTGCCCTGAGCAAACTTGCATTTTGGTGCCCCCACCCAATAAAAACCCTTGCCTTGCCCTGCCCCAGGGGTCAATGTCCTTTTCCTCCCCCTGCTGCTTCTTGCAACCCTGTTGGGCAAACATGATGCCACACTTCCCCCAATGCTTCCTGCCCCTGGGACCCAGAGATGGGAATGGGGCACCTGAAGTCTGAGCTGTCCCCTGCTGCTGCAGCTCCTGTCAGCAGCAGGCGGACTTGGAGGTTGCATCTGGGGCCCTGCTCCTTGACCTGGACAGGTTGGCAGGTGGCGGGGAGGTGGTCTGCATAACCAGCATAGCGGCTGACTCAGACCCCAGAGCCCAGTCCATTCCTCCTCAAGATAGTGCTGCAGGGACCTGGCTGAGGTGGGGGTTTCTGGCTCTGTGGTTGGTCCCTTCCCAACCACCAGCCCACACCAAGCTCCTCCTGAGCAGCTGTTGCAGACCAGGGCTGGGATCGGCCAAGGTGCGGTGGGGTGGTGCCCCCCTAACCATGGCACCCTGGGTGGTCACTTACATCATCCACCCCCAAGGCCAACTTTGTGCTCACAGATACACATACATGTGTAACCTGGGCGGTACTCCAAGAGGTACCCCCTCTCCGAATGAAGGGATCAAAGCAGGTACACAAGCACTGTGGGAAGTGTAGGGACTCTTCTCCCCCTGTAGAGCAGAGCCAGACCACCAATGGGGACTTAACCATATACCTTTTAATACTGGGAACATTACAGGCATAAATCAGAGGGTATAGTGGACACTACAATGCCCCAAGGAGGCAGGATTCAACAAAGGTTAGACACTTACAATCATTGAAAAAAAGACAGGGTTAACAAAATATAAAACACAAACAGCAGAACAAACAATACAGGCTGGTGATATGTAAAAAGGCACAAAATACAAAATGTCAAATGACAAGGAAATATAGGGCCTTGGTACCCGGAGGGGGAAAAAACACCATGGCCCCTTTCCACTGCAAGAAGACCTGCTTCACTCACCCCAAATCACTTTTGCTGGGACTTAAACCCTGCTCTCCCACACGGTAGGCAGGAACGCTGCCACACAGCCACCACTGATGGCACTGCTCCAACCTGCTAGGGGTCTTGACTGTCCCAGAGCCCTGGCCTCACGTCAAGCTGCCTGGCCTCTGTTTGGAGGAGCTGGAAACAGAGCTGGGAAGCCCTCAGGTCACTGCTCAGATCCTTGCTGGAGTGGGGGGAGTCTCTCCTGCTGGCTGTAGCCTCTCATAGGGGATCCTGGAGCCCAGTGGGGAGCCTCTCCTGCCGGCCACACGCCACACTGCTAAGGGTCCCACTGCTACCTGCAGGTCCTGCTCTTTCAGGCTCTTCTAGGGCACTGCTCCTGCCCCACTAGCTCAGCTCTGTGAAGCCCCTTCCTTGTTGTCTCTCGCTGGTCTCTCCTGAGTCAGCACACACTGCCCCTTTTATCCCCCTCCAGGTGACCCAAGGGGCCAATCAGGACATGGGGGAGGTGAGTCTCTGGGGCCTGATTGGTGTGGAAAGTCCTCCAATCATCTTTTACCCCTTCAAAATTCCGGGGCCAAATCATTACCAGATTGGTGAGGAAAGGGAATCCCAAGTCCTCCAATCATCCTTTGCCCTTTCAAAACCCCTGGGCTAGGTCACTGCCAGCTAGCCTGTCACATACAAATTGCTTTGCTCCCAAATTGCAATTCACACACAAAGAATGCTGATAGAAACCCCAAAAAGTACAAATATTTTCATGTGCTTCTGATTGCAAAACTACATTACATAACTGGAGTTTATTGCTTGGAGTTCATTAATCTTTGAGTCAGATGCTGTAGGGGAGAGAGAGTTTAAAGTCATTCTTGGAAAAATATTAAAATACTGTTACAGTTTTGATCCGAGATGCTAGCCAAAGGTTGAGCGTCTTCTGACTTTTTCTAGACGTGAGTCAGATGTTCCCTTGATGTAGTCCTGTTTATTTACTAAGAGTGTACAGTTTTTTTTCTTTAAACATGAAAATATTAGACAAGAGACAGCACCTTTGCTGACATAGCTACAAGCTTGTTTCAGCCAGCACGTAACCTAAATAGCTCTTTCTATGCTTATTCTCAGGAAGGTTCTCCTCCTGATTATCCAACCTGTCTACTTGAGACTCTGATCTTTTCTTTCTCCTCACTTTTGTTAGTTTCTCATCTACATATACACAAACCTTTGCCAAACAAGTCATTGGAAACTTCTCCACCTACTTATACTTACACCTATACATGTGTGAGACACGTGACCAGATGTTGAAGTTTAACTGTTTCTTAGGACTCCTCTACATGTGCCGGTAAAGGCGTAATGGGATCTGATGCAAGATCCACACAATCACACTTCCTGCAATGCCACACATACATTGCAGGAGGTACGATTTATGGCACCACACATTAGATTTCATTGTGCCTTATTGCTGGTGCAGGGGGAGTCTGTCTACAAGGCCTGAAGCAGGGGCAGCACCAGGAACACTACTGCCACTGCCACTGCCACTCTGAACCTTGGTGACTGCCAGCAGGTGGTGCACCCCTGTGGCTGGGAGCCCCTCAGATGAAGGGGCGTCAGCCACAGGGGAGCATTTGGCCACACGTTCAATGAATGGCATGATTAGAACAAGCTACAAAGTGACTACACTTTTTTTGGAATATCTTTGTAGCTTATTGCTTGGTTTATCATGCCATTAATTGGTTGAAGGTGGAGCCGGATCACAATTTAGCTGGTTAATCATGCCTTAAGTGTGAAGTGTAGAGGGGGCCTTACAACTATCCTTTATAAGGGGTTGTGGTTGCACCCTTCCCCTCCAAAGTTAAGAAGCTACAACTTAAACCATATCAGTATTTCAAAATAAACAGTGCATACCTGATTTAAATGGTTCCTTTTATTTGTTCCCACAGATTATGAATCAATTTAAGCCCCACAAGTTTCTATGCCAAGTTTTAAGTGATCCTTTGTATAAAGAGAGAGAACGGGAAGTGTCAACTTGTCATGTAGAAGGAAGTTTAGTCAGTCCATTATGTTAGGTGGAAGGATAAGAGTTGTACCTAATTAAACCCCATTCATTTGATGACATAATGTGTAGTCACCAGGCTCTTAAAGATTTCCATTTTGGATACTGAGAGAACTTCTCCACTACCTTTAAATGCCACCTCTCATTTCCACTAGGATTATGTCTTCAGTGGTTGCCCAGCCTGAAAAAGAGCAGGGAACCTAGGCTGGCAGAAGAGGTTGTTTTAAATCCCACACTTACACTGCTCACTTACGTGAACATGAGTCGGCAATGTGGGGAGGTGGCTAGGAAGG